CAGCGCTCTCATGTGCCAGCACGGGGGTGAGTCCTCTCTGGACGATGGTCTGCAGCCCCCAAAGAGGTTCAAGGGTGACCCTGTGAACATCCCCCCAGCTGCCCCCGGGCTGTTCATGGTCCTGGTGGAGGGGTTGAAGCAGATCCACGGGAACATCACCCAGCCCCGCATGCAGTGCTACGCCCTGGCCAACCTGGCTGAGCTGCTCTCCGTGTTCACTGAGCTGGAGCCAGCGGGCAGCTCCCTCCCCACCACAGAGTACCTGCACAAGGTCAGTGCCACGGTCAGCCTCTGGACCAGCGACCCTGACAGCCAGTTCCACCACAGCGGGCTGGGAGAGAAGGTGAGGGAAGCAGAGAGAACCATGAGCCTCCTGTCTGTGACCAAACTCTCCCGTGAGGAGCTCTTTGTTGGCTTGGAGTTCCTCTGCAGCTTGTTGCGTGCCTGGGGAGAGGAGCTGCAGGATGCTCTGAGCAGCTCCGAGCAGCTCTGCTATGAGAACTACCGGCTCCTGGACACTCTGACCACCCTTGGGAAGAACCTGGTTTGCTTCTCGGAGACCAGAGACGTGGGTGAGGATGAGACACGTGTAGTGTTAGAGCTGACACAGGTCACCAAGGACTTTCTCAAGGAGAGCAGTGCCAGCCCGAAGAGCAAGGATTTGGCCACCACCAGCCTTGTGTCTTCAGTTGCCATGGCAATCATTGCTCAAAAGCTGGACCGGCATGCAGACATGTGCTCTGTTTTTGCATCTGAAAAGACCTGGGCCTTTTCAAAGGCCTGGGTTGACTGCCTTGTGCAAAATAAAGCTCTCTTCCAGAAACCGGAGCTAGTTTTGAAATTGCTGGAGACACTGGTGAGCTTTGCTACATCCTGTCAAGACAGGGAGGCCCAAGAGCTGCAGGTGCAAGTGACCAAAGCCATCATGGACTGTTACACTGAGCTTTCATTAACTGACAAAAACAAGGTGATCTCGGATGTCCTGGCGTCCTGGGGTGGACCAGGTCTGTCCCTGAACTTGCAGGTTGTCAGGGAAGGGTTCCAGGAGGATCTGAATGTGACTTTCAACCAGATCACAAAGAGTGTGTCCGATGAAGGCCTGACCAGGGCTGTGGCTTCTGTGGCCAGGCTCACGCTGCTGTACCCCGAGGCTACGGTGAAGCAGGTTTGTCATCTTGCTGTGGTCAACCTAGGAGCACACCAGTTCCTCGCACAAATCCTCTGCTCCTTCCCAGCACTGAGGTTCCTGGAGACCCAAAAGGATCCAGGCAGGCCACACAACCTGGTGGTGAGGTGTCTGGAGGAGGCAGTATGGGAGAAGCTTTCCACTGCGAGGGAAGAGGAGCAGTTCCTTCAGTTCCTGACCTTTCTCATGCAGCCAGGCTCAGCCACCCCACTTGTGTCACCTGCAGAGGTGACCAAAGCTTTTGTCCTTCCCTATTTGAAGTCAGACTCTCCTCAGATTGAACTGAGCCTGCAGGTCCTCAGTAAGGCTTTGGGAATACAGCCCTGTTCAGAAGAGTACTGGATCAAATCCTGTCACCCATTCCCACTTCTACTGAGCCTCTGCAAGCTTCTAGATGGTTACACCAGGTACTGGCATCAGCCTAGGGAGCAGCTCTTCCCTTCACTGGAGACCAAAGACCTGATTCTGAATATTCTCTGCCAGCTCTGCGAGGTGGTGGGACCAGAATCTGCCCCCTCCCCGGAGCTGTGGATCCAGTCCCTGGCCTGGCTCCACAGGAAGGTGGCATCCCTGGACTGGACCGTCGGGCTCAGACTGAAGAAGCTTTATGGAGACCACTTCAAGAACGAGGTCCCGGCGACACTGTTCGAGATCTGCACCCTCCCTGAGGACGAGTGGACATCCCAGTCTTTGCCAGCCTACGGACCGGGCAGCGGGCTCCTGGCATGGATGGAGTGCTGCTGCGTGTCCCCAGCGCTCAGGGACACGATGCTGGCGCTCCTCACAGTCAACGTGGACAACCCTGAAGAAGTGAACCTCTTCAGCAAAGGGTTCCTGGTGGCCCTCATTCAGGTGCTCCCCTGGTGTAGCCACAGCGAGTGGAGGAGGCTCATGCACGTGGTGGAAAACCTGCTGCAGAGGCAGGTCCTGCACGTGCCCTACACGCTGGAGTACGTGCAGTACATGCCCCTGCTCAACCTCCGCCCATTTGCCTGCTACCTCCAGCTCTCCGTGCTCTTCCTGAGGGGCTTCCAGCTCCTCTGCAGCTCCAGCTGCTCCACCTGGCTGCCCCCAGAGGCCTGGCTCCACGTGGTGCAGCTGTACTGCGGCAGCCTGACGGACCTGCTGACCTCCGTCAAGGGCACGGCGGGACCCCCCTCGCAGCCCGCCGGGGACGGGACCTCCCCACAGGAGGTGTCCTTCGTCTGCATCCAGATGTTCTGCCACCTGCTGCACGTGGCTGCCATGCTGCCGGGCGAGGGCTGCGGGGAGCCCCTGGTGGTGGTGGCACTGGAGATCCTGTCGCAGTACGAGGCGTTCAGCAACGCCGACACGTCCCCCAGCAACACCCTGCGGAGGGCCAACGAGAGGCACTTCCTGGAGGCCATCACGGACAACGTGGGGGACAGGGAGCTGCGCAGCACCCTCCTGCAGAAGCTCAGCAAGCTGGGGGCACACCTGGCCGGGGAGCCGGATTGAGGAGCTGGAGAGGGTGACAGAGGAGAACACCGACAAGGGACCCCTTACCTGGATGGTGTAAGATCTGTAATAAACCCTATTTTTCACTTTTGTATTTATTTCCTCCCTGCTGTGTTTTCTCTCACCCTGCCTAAGCGGTGGAGGGGCTGTGTAAAGATGGGTAGGAGGAACCACTTCAGTTTTCCATGGGAATAACTGTGGACACAAGCTGGCAGTTCTGTGGCTCCAGCCTTGCCTCCTGGCAGTCTGGATTTACAGAGAGCCCGGCAGCCTCCAGCATCAGGGAAATTGTTTCCTTCCAGCTCCTTTGCCACCAGCCCTCTCCTAGTCCTGGGAGGATTGCTGGGTTTGCCAAGTGCTGCCAGAGGCTGGGAAGCAAGTTGGAGGCTGGGAAGCGAGTTGAGTGAGTTCAGGACAGGCAGGAACCTTTAGAAATACACGTGGTTTGCTCCTGCCCGGAGGTGGGGGTGCAGCAGTAACACTGTGTGTAACACCCCCACCCAGAAACAAATGGCACGTGGGAGAGCCAGCCAGTGGTGTGACTCAGAAAGGAAATCTTTATTGGTCTCCAGATAGTAAATAGTGTTAGTGCAAACTGAGGTGCCTCATTGGCTGGGTTTTTTTTTTTTTTTTGTCCTTACATAAGGCACGTTATTCGCAATGAAAACAGTGAGATACAAACATCTGTAACGAGTTGCAAGCGGTTTATAACATCAGCTGGTCTCAGTGGTTACTGTAACAGCGGCACTTCTGCAACAAGTTGGAAGAGGCCCTTTTTCCTTTTTTTTTACTTTATCCAGAACAACAGCCGTGACTGGGACGAGATACAACACCCAGAAGATCCAGATCTTCCAGAGCTTGGCCGCTGGTTTCAGACAGAATGAAAGGCACAGCGTGGTCACCAGTCTCCCAGGTGTGGGCCCGTGCCAGGACCATGCCAGGGCTGGGCTGGTGCAGTTCCCTGCCCTGGAGCGGGCACGGGAGGCTGTGGGGAGGAGGTGGCTGCCCTGGCTTGTGCTGGTGGCCGCAGGGAAGGTACTGAACTGCACTGAACCGCTGTGGTCTGACTGCACACACCCGCAGGGCTCGTGAACCCTGTGGTGCAGGGCGAGCCGGGCAGCCCGAACCCATTTTGCTGTGACTGAAGGTGGGAATGGGCTGAACTGGTGAAGGAAAACCAGCTCAGCACCCTGCTCTGGGGTTGCTGGTTCCTTCTGCACTGCCCCAGTTCCGTCTCTGGCAGCCTTGTGGGGGAGTAGGATGGGGCTGGAGGGATGGACCGTACAACCGGAGCTTGGGCTGTACCACAGCTGCTGCCGGGGCGTGGTGGTGCCAGCTGGAGGGCAGAGCAAGGCAGGGTGTGCCAGATGGTCTTAAATACCTGCTGAGGGGATGCGGGGCAGATAGAAGCAGCTGTGGTTAGGGGAGGGGGTGAAAGTTGCATCCCTTGCCAACAATGGGCTCTGCATAGTGTCCTGTGTGTTGGTGAGATGAGGACTTGGCAGGTTCCCATCCCCATCCTGCCCTTCAGCTGTGGGCACCCTGCCCTGCCAGTGTTGTTTGTGAGACAGTGCAACCATTGCCCTGTCCTGGTGTGAGCTTCTTCCCTCCAGCCCTGCTGGGAACACCGGAGCCCCCCAGCCTCAGGACTGTCAGACAGACATCAGACAGTTGTAATGAAAAGCACCTTCGGGTTAAGTGGAGCTTTAAATGAGCTTGAGCCCAGCAGCAGCAGCAGGAGGTGCACGTGGAAGGTCAGAGGCTGAACAGGGCTGTAGTGTAGAGGTGAAGTCGGTAAAGGTCAGGAACGGCTCTGCAGAACTGTGCTGCAGCTCCAGGCCTGGCTCTGCTCTCAGCTGGAGGCTGAGCTGGAGCTGGAAGAGTGAGCTGGGGCTGTGGCAGGTCTGGCACACAGCTCCCCATCCCCATCCGTTCTGCTGTAAGGGCTGGATGCTGCAGGATCCCCTCCTCTGTCTGCAGGCTCCTCCACACCACCATGCCGGTGTCTGGTGTCAGCCCTGGAACATGCAGCGGGGGGGTTGTAACAAACCCCTCTCGTGTAACCGTTAGTTCCGTGCCACGGCGTTGAACCCCAGAATGGAATGTTGTGCTTATGATCCAGCTCCCACCCCGGGCTCCCACGGGTGGGTGGACACAAGGCGCTGGAGCGGTGTGGGAGGAAAGCCTTCCTAGCCCAGGCTGGCGCTGCCTGGCACGGTGGTGGAGACGTGAGGCTGCTTCCAGCTAAGACAGCCCGGCGCTATCCCTGCTCCCACTCTGGTCCCTGCAGAGATGGCAGGAGAGCCGGGGGGGCTGACCCTGTTCAGCCCCCGGGGGGGCCGACCCCGTGGCAGCCCCCGGCTGGGCTGGCAGGGCCGGCCGTTATCTGCTCCGGTCGGCGGGCGGGCGGCCGTAGAGACGGGCGGCTTTGCGGCAGATGAGCCTGAACCAGTAGATCTGGGGGGCGATGAGGGAGGCGTTGGCGATGTTGCAGTGCAGCGGGATGCGGAAAGGCACCATGTACACGGGCATCCCCACCTGCCACCCGTAGGCCGCGTACATGAAGGGGAAGAGGAGGATGCGGCAGAGGAAGAAGGTCACCAGGATGAGGATCCCGTTCACCTTGTGCAGGAGCGTGTCCTGCATTTTGAGCTGGGGAAGGAAGGAGGCCAGTATGGGGTGAGCAGCGTTTCTCCTTGGGCACTGACTGTGCTGGGGGCAGGGAGGTGAGCATTCGGGAGGTCTGGAGGAGCGGGAGCACGAAAGTAGGGTGGGAAAGGATGGAGGAGGGTAGGGGGAAGGGAGATGGGGGCAGAGGGCTGGGGTGGGAGTGAACATGGTGCAGGGGAGGGACAGGCAGGAGAGGGCAGCACCAGGCCGTGGCACAGCCCCCAGTTCTGGGATGCCGTGGGCGTGCTGCTCACTGGGGGAAAGGAATGGGATGCAGAGGGAGGAAGGCAGCACTGCAAGGGAGATTGGGGTTACAGCTGTGGGGCTGCCTCTCTCTGAGACCTCTGGCCCAGCTGCTACATGAACAGGGGCTGATGGAGCCTGGGTACAAACTGCTGTGGCGTTCCCAGACCCGAGCCCTGTCCCTCCTCACCTACCTGCATGAGGATTTTGCCCAGGGATACGAAAGGTGTGCTCAGCTCTGCTGTGAAGATGCAGCCCACGAAGAAGTCCCCCAGCTCTCCCCTGAAGTGCTGTAAAAGAAAGGCAGCAGTGAGCACGGGGCCCTCCAGGGAGGTGACTGGGAGCCAACACCCAACATCTCCAGGGGGTCATGGGCTCCTGCAGCAGCCGTGCCCAGCCCTTACCTGGGTGATGGGGGTGAGCACGATGAGGATGAAGAGGTGGTGGGTCACCATCAGCCGCTCCTGCAGGAGGAAGCTCCACACACTGGCCAGTGAGTGCTTCTTCTCTGTGATTCCCTTTTCCAGGCTCTTGTGCCAGTGGCAGAGGTACATGACATAGATGTCATAAGTCATGTAGGGAACGAGGACCCAGATGTACTCCACGGCCAGCCAGTGCCTAGGGGAGGAGCAGCACACACAGAGGCATTGCAAGGGCAAAAGAGAGTGTTTAGGTCTGAAATGGCAGCAGCAGGTTTTGAAGCTGATGGCAAACTGAAAGGGGGGGGAAATTTTAACTCCATTTGGCTCAGCAGGTACAGACTGTCCCAGGGAAAAGGTACCTGGTACATGTAGAGGACGACTTGGCGCTGGCCCTGCTTCCCCCTGGGTTGTGCCAGGCACCAAGCTCAGCCTGGCCAAGCACAAACACGGCGCTAACGAGGAGCCTGATTAGCCCCACAGCCAAGTAGCTGCTGCATGGGCCAGGGGCACAGCACCCCTCAGGATCCAGCACCAAACTGATGCCTTTGCAGCAGGTGATCTTCCCTAAACCTTGAGACCGCCAGAGCTGGTGCCTGGTGGGGGAGGAAGGGGAAATTCTGATCCTGGCTCCCTCCTGCCTGCCAAGCCACGTCAGCTGGCTGCCTAACCCAGGGAGGGTTTGGAAAGCTCCTGGAGAACTCAGAGTTAACTGGCTATGCCTGGTCTGGAGCTCGGAGAGTGAGGCGCAAAATATCCAATATAAGCAATAAACCCCCAAGAGGCGTTTGTCAGTTGGGAAATAATTGCAGGCAGCTGCCTGTTCCCAAAGCATGTCGGAATCCCGGTTGCACAATCTGGGCAGCAGCAAGCCCTGCTCTGCAGGGACTCCAGCCTCCTTAAAAAGTCCTGAGTGAAATCACACTGATAAAAAAAAAAACCCCAAAACCACCCCACGCTGTTGCTTAAAGAAACGTAGCTTGGGGCTCAAATAAAACTGTTTTTGCTCTCCTGCCATTCCAGGGAAAATTCTGTTGCACACGTTCCTGCTCCAGATAGAAAGATGTCAGTGATGTAAAGCAGGGAGGGCAAGCGATTGTGTTTGAAAAACTTGCCCAGGGCTTTGGAGGGCAATTACAGCTCAGGCAATATAATGATTGTCTGCCTCTGTAAATAAACTGGCAGTTTTACTGCAACCTTTGTGATGGTTCCTGGCGCGCTGTCTCGCTGTCATTCTCCGAGGCCTTCCCTGCTGAGCACTGGGCTCTATTTCCTCCAGATTCAAAGAAAATCTAGGTCTCTGCCCACAAAATGTTCGCACAGAGCCACTGGCCTTGAGAACACCCGGGCAAGCAGACAGCTCTGGGGGGAAGGAGGGCTGCTGGTAGCGCCTTCTGTCTCTGTGGCTCTGGGCTTCATCATCTGCCTTATCTATCCAGCAGAAATTTTATTTTAGAGCAAAAAGGTAACTCATAGACTGCCTGGGTTAAGCAGGGCTGAGCAACCTGGATAGATCTCACTGTCTAGAGCAAGGCAGGACACTTCACAGCTGT